TTCCTGGAGAAGTTGGCATAACAACTAAGCCAGATCCTGACAATGTGTTGGTTTTTTTTTAAACCAAGCATCAACCAAGAGTTTCGGGGGAAGACTGAAAATTAGCATTGCAGAGGCAGCAGATCTTGCTTACTGTACCATTCACTGTACTGTACCATACCACAGCCGCTACCTGTGAATGCTGAAAAGACAATGCAGACACAATAGAAACCAGCTTTCCTCCATTCTCACTAGCAGTCTCTACTGGCAGTGCAAGGGGCCTTGTACTAGCAGAACAGAAGCATAAGAATCCACATCAGAATTTCTGAGGACCAAACTTGATAGGACAGAGGGATCTACACATATTTATACACATGTGCACCCTTGTCCTTTATGCCAAAAACTCTTTCGTTTTCCTCAATTTTATTCCAGCCAAGGTTCAATAATGGAAATGAGCTGGGCTGGAAAAAAGATTCTGAAAGCAAAAGTGCACAGCAAGGTAAGGAGATTGTGAGAACCTTCACCTGTGCACTCTATTTTGTTTTTAAGTGACATTCTCCAACAGACATGAATGTATAGACACATAAGTGGACTCCCCAACCACTGTTAATTTATTTCCTAGTGAAAAGGATTTATTGTATGTTGAACTAGGAAATTCTACAGCCGCAGTCAGTGTTTTTGTTATTGTTGTTAAAAACAAAAACATTGCCACTACTCCACCAATTCCCCCCTCAGGACTTGGGAGAGCCCCACCACCAAGGTGCCAGTACTCAATGCTGGCAATTACCACCACTAAAAAAACCCTGATCCTAATCAAGGAAAAGATTCTGTTACATACCTTTACTTCTGGTGTTTCACTTTTTCTTGTCCTTTTCATTATTTCATCTATTCTCTACAATGCAAACCACAACATAATTTGTATCGCTTATTTACTACCCTTTCAGTGCAACCCACTGAAGTCAATGGCCACAGAATGGCATAATTCTGTTTAGGATTACACTGTTTGTCTTCCAAGTCTAAGAAAATTATTGCCATTGCAGGTCTATAATGTATATACAAGATAAAACATTACTCTCAATACCTTTCATTGAACCTACAAATTTGAAATAAGATCACACAATATTATATGGTAAGGCAAATGTTCTCCATGCCAGTCAGCATGCCAACAGGTCATTCTGTTTGCAGATACCAAAGGGGTGAATCCTGTGACCTGTCAGTGAAAAGCTCTGATGGCTGCAGGTCTTCCTGGATCTTCTTTCCCGTAGCAGTAATTTCCAGTCCCTGGAAAATTTACCCCTGGGGTCATAGGACCTGCATGGAGTAATAGTCACGCAGGTTGCAGTGAGAACGGGGCAAAACTGCCCTTTTCTGCCTCTTGCTCCCTGTCCCCTCCCCACTGCAGCCTCCAAAACTGCACGGTTCCATGTAGGCCCCCAAACCTGGGAATAAACTTTCCTGGGATCAGAAATGGTTGATGGGTGCATGGGCAATTGTGTGGACCTTGCAAAGCCTTGTGCTGGATCTAACCTATTATGTTGCCCTTTTACGTGCAATTTGCCAAGCTCGTGATCAATTCTATTGAACAGCAATATAGCAACTGACCAACAAGGCTCACAATTCTATCTTTAGAAAACATAAAGAGCAAAGTTGTTCTTACATTGCTATTGTTGTAGGATGTACATGCAGATTACGGAGTACAAGCTGTGCTCCTATGCAACAGATTGGATCCTATCATCTCTTCCCCCTACTGAAAAAGGGAGGTTGGGGTCCACTTAGACCACCAAATTGGCTGTGTTGGGTATCATGAGACCTGCATGGACAAAAGCCATGTGAGATGGAGATTACAGTAAGGAGGGAAGGTGGGTGTGACAGACTGAAAAGGCTAGATTGCTTCAACTCAATAGCATTGCATTGGCTACAAACAGTAGTTTTCTCTGTTAACTACATTTGCTCCTAGAACTGCTGGCTCCAAGGTCTTGGATGTAGAGATGAAAAACATTTTTAAAGAGGGTTTGTAGTCAATTCAAGCATGTTGCACTAGAAGCTCACTCTGATCATCTGACTGTTCTTTGTCCAAGAATATTTAGGTATGGCCTTCAGCTGCAAATAGCAAAAGTAACAATACCGGATAGGAACAATTTGTTACCTTCTTTCGCTCCTGTCTTTCTTGCTCTATCTGCTGCATGATTTGTTCCCTTTCCAGACGCAGCTGTTCAGCTGCCTCCCGGGCCTTTGCTTCTGCCGCTTCTTTCTATTCAAAACATGTAACCCAACATATAAGTTATTTTATCCATTCTTAGACAAGTTACCAGCCCTGAGAGATTTAAGTACATTGGATACCCTCCTACCCCAATATTTCTCAAGCCTGATTTCAAACATTCTGCCAACCATGCATGTATTACTGAAAATTTTATTTACAAGGTTATGGGCTCTATGTGTCTGAAACGTTCCAACTCTTCTTTCTATCTAGGTCTGCTGGGTCATAAAGGGAAATAAATGTACCAGAATCACCAGTTTTTAGAATGGTATAGAATTTGTCATGTGATCCAGCAGAACCACAAGAAATTTGAATATTTTCTGTCAGGAACACAGCACTTTCATTGGCAGATGCAGTTTTAGGTGACAGCTACAACAACAACAATGCATGGCTAGTGCATTTCAGAGCATTTGGCAAGCAATTTATCATAGATGCCATTCTGAAAAGCTATAAAATTATATTAAACACACTGATTACATTGCACTTAGGCTTGCATGTATACAGGCTTGCTTTGTATACAGAAGACTCCAGTCGAGTGTTCCCTCTAAGCTGAGTTAGTATGAGCTAGCTCACAGGTTTTTAGCGCCCAGCCCATACATTTTTGTTTTAGCTCAGGAAGGATGGCTCCAGAGCAAACTAATTTCTGCAGTAGCCAAATTGCTCGCTCACAACTTTAAGGCCAGCAGCTCACAAGACTCCACAGCTTAGAGGGAGCATTTCACATTGCTGGGCTGGATGCGCCCAAGACCCTGGAGAGCAAGATGGACAAAGGTCTGACTTAAGGTAAAGCAGCTTCAGAAGTTCACCCAAGAAATAAGCATAGTGAAGAAAAGCACTGCATGGCGATCCCTCTGTTTTGTTTTCTGCAGAAAATATTATGTTTGGATAATAGATTCAGATCTTGAAAAAAGTCACATCCATAGCATGTACAAAAAGCCATACCTGTAACTCAATCATAGCTTGCAATTCCTTTTCTCGTTTTTCTCTTAATATACGTTCTTCTTCAACTCTCCTTCTAGCTTCCTCTTCTGCTTTTCTGGTAGCCTCTTCCTCCTCACGCCTTCTCTCCTCCTCCTTCTTACGGGCCTCTTCCTCCAGCCGGATCTTCTCTTCTTCTGCCTTTCTTTTCTTTTCTTCTCTCTCTAGCCTTTAAAGCCACAGCAATATTTTTAGACTGGCAGAAAGACTACTCTTTGTATTAACTTCAGCATAGTATAAAAATGTATTCTTTTCAATTGAGGATAGGATTACCAATTGCCTGGAGGAAAAAATGTCCTTTTCCTTTAGTAAAGGTTTAATGGGATGTTTTTTACCAGTATTACATAGCCCTTTCCCTCCCCGAATAATATTAATTGTGTATACTCCACAAAAATACACTTTGGCTTACACAGAACAGAGTCATAGGGCAGCACTGTCAAAAAAAACCCTTCTGCTCTTAAAAATATCAGAAATGTGGATATAAATTACCCCATGAATGTCTGGCCACTGAATACCAGATATGAAGAAAATACATCTATTTTACATCAAAAGAAGGTCTGTTGATCAAAGGAAGGAAATGAGAGAAGGCATTCCTTACACGGGAACAGCCTAACATTCCAGATGCAACAGATATGCATCAACCAAAAGTCATTTTGAAACTCCTAGCTCCTCACACCTTCCTGGCCATAAAGCATGACCCAGGTTTTGCAAGATAAAAATGCAAATGCAATTCCAGGGTGATAAAATAATCAGGAAGGATCATTTGATTATCTCTTATATAGCATCAGTGTATCCATGTCAACTGACATCTAATCCAGGTGCATCTTCCATGCATATTCTAGTGCCCCTCTTTTCTGTAGGTTGGCTACACTGTCCTATCACAGCTCAAATACTAAGTTCACAGCAGATCCAGAACTTTACCAATCAGGATCCAACCCCAAAATAACCAATCACAGTTCCAAAATCCGGGTTCGATGCCAGGAAGATCCCGATATTGGGCCAATAGCAACTCTTTACCATTAACACCAAGGTAAATTCAGGTGCATAGGAAAGGCTCCTTGAGTCCTCCTGTCCTGTCCAATCGCCATGAACACGGCAAAATCGAACCCCTCCTCTTCAAGACAGGCAGAGTATGATTCTCTCTCATTATGCTTGCCTTTCCAAATTTAACCTTTCAAGTCCTTCTTCCCAGTTCCCCCCCCCCGTCTTCCACTTCCCATTATAGACCAGTTTATCCTACAACAGCAGCCATTCCCATTGCATCTGAGTTAGGAAGTCCTTTCCCCATGTCTTAAGTCACATTCCTACACAAGCAGGATGAGTAAATTGGTTGATTTTATTTTGTTTCTGTGATATGTCTACTATATCTTTTTTTCTTTTGCTGACTATTTCTTGTCTGTGTCTTGTTAGGGTAATAAAGTTACTTGTTGGTTAAGTGTTCTGTTACCCACTGATTTTTCTTTGTCCAAGATTTACTGTGATAAAATGGGAGTTGTGTATATAACAGACTGAGCTATTCCAATCTTACCTGCAGTCTTGTGTCTCAGTTGCACAGGAACAGGGGACATGACAGACCTGGTACATGGCCTGATTTGAGTAACATTTGCCATCATGCCATGAAATACTTCAGCTGCCCATTTACACAAGTTAGTCATGGACTAAAGGGACAGGCCTGTTAGCAAGCATAATGATGGAGCACTTAGGCCACTTGTATTCTGCAGCTACCCAGCTTCCTTGGGGAAAGTGTCCAAAATTATAGGATCTCGAGAGGTCACAGGCAAGGTGCACCACAGCTTAGATAATCACAGTCATGAAACACACAATGGTTAAAACTCACACCTTTCACAAACTGAAAATCTGATTTGAAGATTATCTTCACAGAAAGATGGTGTAAATATTTTTTCCGGGAAAGAAAGGTACCTTTCACGTTCCTCCTTCTCCTGCCTTTCTTTTTCCTCTTGTTCTTTTTGGAGGCGAGCCTGGCGTCTTTTCTCTGCTAGAATCCTTGTAGCTTCTTCAGCATCAGTAGTTCCTGCTGCAAGTTTCCCTAGTGAAATATTGCTAGGTTTAGAATACTAGCTGGCAGACAGGAAATTTGTTGCCAAACTACATATTTCATGGAAGTATGTATTAATAAGATCCTGACAGTTGCTTCTTCTAGGCAAAGTGAGCAAATCTGAAGCACAGAGAAGGAAATACCTCTCATGCTTCAGTTCACCCCTTTTCAAAGCTGCTTTGTTTAAAAGTCACCATTGTTGGGGTTTTATTACAAGCCTTTGAATGTACTGTGGAGTCTGTGTATAGTTAAGGCTAGAACAGTGAAGCAGCAAGTACAAAGATAGAGACCAAAGTATCCTACATTAATGCATTCTCTCAAATGTTCTATTCAGTTGACATGAACCACACCCAATTTAGCCAGTGGCGGCACTTTGTGCATTTCAAGGAGGAGCAAGAGAAGATAGGCAAAGGGTTCAAGATCCTTTCCAGCACCTTCCTAGATAGCCATTCAAAATAGCTGTATATCAAATAATAAACCTGTCCCTATATAACTAGTTCATCTAGCCATTACAAAGGGAGACTGCAACCAAGAAATCAGAAGGAGACTGAGACTGGAAAGGGCAGCTGTGAAGGAGCTAGAACCCATTCTGAAGTGTTGCTGGCGACCAAGGTCAAGTTAATTCATGCCATCGTATTCCCCATTGTTATGTGTGGATGTGAAAGTTGGACAATGAAGAGAACTGACAGAAAGAAAGCTGAAAGGAGAGTTTTACAGATACTGTGGTCTGCCAAAAAGGCAAATAAGTAGGTTCTAGATCAAATCAAGCCTGAACTCTCCCAAGAAGCTAAAATGACTAAACTGCAGCTATCATACTTTGGTCACATTATGACAAGACGAGAGTCACTAAAAACCCACAATAATGCTAGGAAAAGTTGAAGGCAACAGGAAAAGAGGAAGACCCAAAATAAGATGGATTGACTCAATAAAGGAAGGCATGGCCCTCGGTTTGCAAGATCTGAGCAAGGCTGTTAATGATAGAATGTTCTGGAAGACATTAATTCATAGGGCCGCCATGTCAGAAGCAATTTGACAGCACTTAAGACACACACTACACTTAAAGAGGACAGTAGAAGAAAATGTTCAAAAGTGTATATTTTTATTTAATCTAAAATCCAAATTATCTTCAGTGAACAGGGCATGATGTTGTATTGTGAGAGAGATGATACTTATGGGCCTTTCCAGACAGGAAACCATTCCATAATTTAATGACATCTCAGTGCTAGCCTAGCTAAGGGTTCCATGGTGATATTTCCTATTGGAAACAGTTATAAAAATAATGGTATGAGTTATGTCATTTTTTTTTGTTACTACAAGGATGAAAATTGTATAAGTAATCATTTGAATTAACACATCATAAAGTTAAGAGGAACTGCTTTAAAATTTAAAACCCTCTGCCATGTTAAAGTCACAGTGTCAGAAGTTCCCTCACACATGAAACATACCTTCACTGTTCGAAGAAGGCACACATTTTTCAGCAATGGTTTGGTTTACAGCCTCTTCAGATGGAGAAGCTTGGAATTTTTGGCTAATATTCTCCCTCTGACTGTCTTTATATTTTTCTGCCTTTTTCTTAGGTGTTTCTTGATTAAGATTTGAAATAACACGGTTTTTCACAGGAGAAGCTGGGTATTGTTTAGTAGTTTTCGGAGACTGAGGGTAAGTCTTTGTAATCATCCTAAAAAGAAATCAAATAAAATAAATGAAAAATTACACTAGCTACAGAATAGAGAAAGTATAGTGAATAGTTGACCCCATCCCACCCCCCTTTTTACATCAGTTCCAAAGGGGTAGCTGTGTTAGCCTATTGCACAAATATAAAAAAGACTAACAAAATTTATCCCAGCATGAGCGTTTATGAGCTAAAAGCTTACTTCATCAGAGGAATATTTTATTTCATTTAAAACATGTGTATGCTGCCTTTCTACTCATATAGAGTCTACAAGGCAGCAAACATCAAAACAGCATTTAAAATAAAGTATATCTAAAATAAATAATTCAATAAAAACATATAAACATACATAACACAAATAAGGAAGCAGGGTCAATAACCGTTACTAGGGGTACACCCCCCAAAAAGTCTTCACCTACTGACAGAAGACACTGTTAACGGGAGAAAGATGACTCTCACTGGGGAGGGTTTTTTAAAGTTTTGGCGCCATGACCAAGACAGCCCTTCTCAGATTGCCACCAGTCTAGCCTCAAATAGTAGGAGCATCTGAAGTAGTGACAAGAGAGGTTCATTTGGGAGAAGTTGTCTCTTAAGGTATGCTGGCCCCAAGCAATGTTATGTCTTTAAAGATCAATTCTGGCACCTTGAATTGAGCCTGGAAACAAATTAGAAGCCAGCATAGAGGGAACAAGCCTGAAGTGATATCTTCTTTACGACCCTCTGCAGTCAACCTTCTGGCTAAAGTATTCTGTGCCCATTGTAGCTTCCAGACAGTCTTCAAGGCATCCACACATACAGTGCATCACAATAATCCAGTCTAGATATTACCAGAGCATCCACCACAGTGGCAAGATCTTTCCTGCCCTGGATGGGCCACAGCTGGCTCACCAACTGAAACTAGTAAAAAGCAACCTTGGACAGCAACGCCACCTTTTTATTCAACAGAAGGTCTGGGTCCAGCAGCACCCGCAAGCTATGAACCTGCTCCTTTAGGGGGCAGCAACCCCTTCCAGAACAGGAGCTATCCCAATTTCTAGGCAAAACCTTCCCCCTCCATTAGTAGCACCTCTGTTTCATCAGGATTAAGTTTCAATTTATTAGTCCTCATCCATCCCAAAACTACCTCCAGGCACCTGTTCACAGTTTTCACAGCCTCCCTGGGATCTACCAGAAGAGTGAGATAGAATTGAGTGTGATCCACATATTGGTGGCAACTCAGTCCAGATCTCCAGATGACATCTCCCAGTGGCTTTACACAGATGTTGAAAAGCATGGAGGATAAGATAATAACCTTGTGGGATCCAGCAGGCCAGAGGCCAAGAGGCACAGGAGCAGTCTCCCAGCATCACACTCTGAAACCTATTCAAGGTAGGACCAAAACCACCACAGATCAGTACTTCCCAGCCCCAGCCCCAGCCCCAGAAGACATTCAAAAGGACACCATGATCCTGGCACATGTTATCTACCAGCACGGCCAAGGTTGTTTTGGTTCCATAAACAAGTCTGAAACCAGACCGGAATGGATCCAAACAATCTGCTTCATTCAAGAATCCCTGTGTGGAAAATCTTTTTAGATATTTTTATAACCAAAATCACAAAAGGTGCTTTACCTGTAATCCATCATTCAAGTGTGAAATCCCTGTGTAAATGGCTGGAAAAGATTTAGCTGTTACATAATGAGAGAACTCTGAGGTTCCAGCCTCTCAATGGGGTACAGATAAACAAAATGTAGGATAAATAAGTTTGACAAAGGATAACATTGTTTATCCTACTTTATTACACTTATATCTGTACTCTATGAAAGGCTGGAACCTAGACCTCTCATATTATTATTAATTATGTTTTATTAACCATGTTAATTTAAGGCCCTTACATAGGGACTCTTACCTGAATGATTTACAACAGGTCTCTCTCTGTCATGACTCCTCCTCTCCCTCCCTTTTCTGTGATTGTAGTTTTTAAAAAAAATAATCTCCAAAGAGATACTCTATATCATATGATTCTGATATAGCCCTGGCTCATGAAAGTTTATGCTGGAATAAATTTGGGTGGTCTCAAAGGTGCCATTGAACTTCTGTTTTCTATTACAGTTAAAAAGAGGAGATACAAATATGACATCAAGTTAGGACTGGACTTGTAGGCAATCTATTCTCAGGCAAAGTATGACTGTGACTAAAAAGATCTAGAACTGGGATCATGTGCTGATCAGGAAACCGGCCACTGACACACTGGAAGACAGAAATCAAACAGATTAATGGTAAATCACTTAGAACGTGCTCTCACAAATTTAGATTGCCACAAGCCAATTCTGACTTAATCTAGACTGGCAGATTCCCATTACCTGAAAATACTTAAAGTAGAATTATTTTGTATCAAAAGAAACCCTTTAAATAGTAATGAATGATCAAATATTATTGTGTTAACCCCAAATCCATGCACAAGAACCACTGAGAAGAAGTACTACTTTAAATAATCCTGGCACTTAAACAGGTATGTAAACAATGCCATGAAACCATACACAGCCGAGGATACTAGCATGTCAGATAATAATCATCCTTGTGTGAGAATATGTCCTGATAATTACTGTCCTCAAGTGAAGATACTACTGGAGCTGTTTAAAGAATTATTAAAGGTTTTATGTACTTTGCCTTGGCACATATCTAAACAAGGCAACTGCTTAGTCATTAGTGTTTGCTTCACAATGGCAGCATAGGTCAAATTATTTGGCTTTATCCTATCAACCCATTCCATCCATTTCACAGACACTCTTGCTATTCAGTGGTACCACCTGCCCACATACCTCTAAGTTCAGACACACATACTTTTTTCTTTTAGTCCTCTAGGCCGCATTTATCAGTTTTATCTATTATTTCCACACCTCATTCTTTCTAAAACTTTAGGAAAATACATATCTTCTTTCTACTGATTTTACTATACATTTTGAAACTACTTCAGGATATCCTGTCTGATCACAGCACTTCTTGCATGAAATCTAGCTTTCTTCCATTTGCTTATATGTGTGAGATAGTTGCTCAGTTTTATATAAGTTATTTTTACTGCACTAATTTTTATGTGATGTTACTTTGTAAAATGAACCTTGCTCATTCTTTCCTGGATACTCTATCCAAGAGAGACTATCAACTCTTCGTGTTCCAATATCAGCCTTCTCTCTCATGCCGTGTTATTAAACATAGTCTGTACAGATAAGAGTAGGGAGTCTCTCTCCCTATGGAATTGCCCCTTTCTATATGTTGAAAGCGTTATTCACAGTAAATCCGTTGTTTACGAAAACTGAAGGCTATCAACATTTGAGGATAGGATTCTTTCCTATGTACAGTTCTAATTTATTGAGGATTAATGAAAATTTGCCAGATGTTCTTACTTAGGGGTTGCAGGTGAAGCTGATCTTTTAGACATGGATGCTGGAGAATCAGATCTTCTGAGAGGAGATCCCAACCCAGATGAAGTGCCAGTCGCTGTGGGCCGTTTCTCTTTCTTTTTCTTTTCATTCTTTAAAAAAAAAAAAAAAAGTACAGTTGTTTTTATCTGTTATCTGACCAAAACAATGTTTCAATGACAGATTAATTTAGCAGAGTTTCATGAGCAAAAATATATTGTTTAAATATAACCTTATAGGTGATGATTGCAGCTCATTTTCCCCTTATGCGATCCTCAAAGCTTCGTGCAACTTCATCTAACATACATTGACTAATAGCTGCAATTATAACACTGCAAAATATTCCATGGATAAACACAGCATATCACTAAAATAGTAGCCAAGTCAAGTTCCCATAGTTGGAATTTACTCAGGCTATACTTTTTTTTGTTTAGTGACCAGGATGCAGCTCCACAAATACAAGGATACTTTCAGATTTGCTGTGTGGCAAACTGCTTTTCAAACTGAGGGAAATTTAAAATACAGTCTGAGCCACTGCCATGGGCTCTGTTGTTCATATTCCACTGGAAGCTTAAGTACCACCTTGGATCCAGGGCTAGTGCCTTCAAGAGAACCAAACAAAATCAAAAGCATGAACACAGAGTTTGGACTGTTTGCCCATTTCTACATGGGTGATTTGCTCCAAGTTTTATGCTTGGGAAGCTTTTCCACAGCATTGTGGTACATTCATGCACCTCCTGGAGTTTCTGACCATTCCCAAATGTGCTTTACAAAGTTTTGGGAAAGATCACAACAAGGGCTGAATGACTGCTATGTGGGTAAGTAAATAATACAGTAAGCAAATAAATAAATGGAAACACAAAGTTCAGATTTTTACAGTCCTACCCACACACAGCATGTTTTTAAAAATCAGCAAGAAGAAGGGCTGCACCAATAAAGCCAAGGAACAAAGAAACAAAACAGTGGTGCCGTGGAAATAAATTTGGTCACTGTGTTGTGATCATAGTGAAATATCATATTACTCCTATAGGTTTTCTGGTCTCTAAAATGTTTACATTATTTTGCTAAGTGTATTACATTTTAAAGATATCATAATGCACTTTGTACAAGAGAGAGTGCAAAAGTCAGTACTGGGCTACAATCTCAAAAATGACAGAATGGTTTCGGTCCGATTCCAAGGCAAACCATTCAACATCACAGTAATCCAAGTCTATGCCCAACCACTGATGCAGAAGAGGCTGAAGTGGACCGGTTCTATGAAGACCTACAACACCTCATAGAACTAACACCAAAAAATGATGTCCTCCTCATCATAGGGGACTGGAATGCTAAAGCAGGAAGTCAAAAGGTAACCGGAACAACAGACAAGTTTGGCCTTGGAAAGCAAAATGAAGCAGGGCAAAGGTTAACAGAGTTTTGTCAAGAGAACACACTGGTCAGAGCGAACACCCTTTTCCAACAACCTAAGAGGCGACTCTACACATGGACATCACCAGATGGGCAACACCAAAATCAGATTGACTATATAATTTGCAATCAAAGGTGGAGAAGCTCTATCCAGTCAGTAAAAACAAGACCTGGAGCTGACTGTGGCTCAGATCATGAGCTACTCATTGCAAAAGTCAGACTTAAACTGAAGAAAATTGGGAAAACCACTAGGCCATTCAGGTTTGACCTAGATCGCATCCCTGATGAATATACAGTAGAGGTGAAGAATAGATTCAAGGATCTAGATTTGATAGATAGAGTGCCTGAAGAACTATGGACGGAGGTTCGTGACATTGTACAGGAGGCAGCAATCACCACCATCCCAAAGAAAAAGAAATGCAAGAAAGCAAAGTGGCTTTCTGATGAGGCTTTACAAATAGCAGAGGAAAGAAGGAAAGCGAAAGGCAAAGGCGAAAAGGAAAGATTTACCCAACTGAACGCAGATTTCCAGAGAACAGCAAGGAGAGATAAGGAGGCCTTCCTGAATGAACAATGCAAAGTAATAGAGGAAAACAATAGAATGGGAAGGACTAGAGATCTCTTCAAGAAAATTGGAGAAATCAAGGGAGCGTTCCATGCAAAGCTGGCCATGATAAAGGACAAAAACGGTAGGGACCTAACAGAAGCAGAAGAGATTAGGAAAAGATGGCAAGAATACACAGAAGAACTATACAAGAAAGACCTCGATGTCCTTGACAACCACGACGGTATAATCACTGACCTCGAGCCAGACATCCTGGAATGTGAAGTTAAATGGGCCTTAGAAAGCATTACTAACAACAAAGCTAGTGGAGGTGATGGTATCCCAGCTGAGCTATTCAAAGTCTTAGAAGAGGATGCTGTTAAAGTTCTGCACTCCATTTGCCAGCAAATTTGGAAAACGCAACAGTGGCCACAGGATTGGAAAAGATCAGTATACATTCCAATCCCAAAGAAGGGCAATGCCAAGGAATGTTCAAACTATCGCACAATTGCACTCATATCACACGCTAGCAAGGTCATGCTCAAGATCCTACAAGCTAGGCTTCAACAGTACGTGGATAGAGAACTACCAGAAGTACAAGCTGGGTTTCGAAGAGGTAGAGGAACGAGAGATCATATTGCCAACATTCGCTGGATTATGGAGAAAGCAAGAGAGTACCAGAAAAATATCTACTTCTGCTTCATTGACTATGCTAAAGCCTTTGACTGTGTTGAAAGAGGAGAGCACAAAAGTGGGCTTGAAGCTCAACATCAAAAAAACTAAGATCATGGCATCCGGCCCCATTACTCCTTGGCAAATAGAAGGGCAAGTCATGGAATTAGTGACAGACTTCACGTTCCTGGGATCCCAGATCACCGCAGACTGTGACAGACGCCATGAAATTAAAAGACGCCTGCTCCTTGGGAGGAAAGCGATGGCAAACCTAAACAGCATGATAAAAAGTAGAGACATCACCCTGCCAACAAAAGTCCGCATGGTCAAAGCAATGGTATTCCCAGTAGTCATGTATGGCTGCAAAAGTTGGACTATAAGGAAGGTCGAGCGCCGAAGAATAGATTCTTTTGAACTATGGTGCTGGAGAAGACTCTTGAGAGACCCTTGGACTGCAAGGAGATTGAATCAGTCAATCCTAAAAGAAATCAACCCTGACTGTTCCCTGGAAGGCCAGATAATGAAACTGAAGCTCAAATACTTTGGCCACCAAATGAGAAGGGAGCACTCACTGGAGAAGACCCTGATGCTGAGAAAGATTGAAGGTCAAAGAAGACAGGGACGGCAAAGGATGAGGTGGTTAGACAGTGTCATAGATGCAACGAACATGAAATTGAGCAAACTTCAGAGGATGGCAGAAGACAGGAAGGCCTGGCGTGATCTTGTCCATGGGGTCGCAAAGAGTCGGACTCAACTGTGCGACTGAACAACAGCAACACATGCTCAAGAGCTCTGTCTTTATATTTTTCATAAATACATTTACATAAAACATTTTTAATTTACATATATAACCTTTTAACATCTTTTAGTATTGGGTAATAATTTTTTTGTTTATTTTAATGTTTATATAGACACCCTTGATGAAACGCTGAGCAAAACATGTTGGAGCACACAGAGTGAATAAAATTTATTTCCATGGCAGCACTGTTTTGTTTCTTCATTCCTTTTTTAAAAATCAGCAACTGAAGATCATTATAATCTGTGTTTCATGTTCTCTCAATTCCTTGCTTTCATTTTCTTTTCTTTCTTTTTTCTCTAGCCCCTAAAGTTGTAGACATATAAGTCTCTGTCCCCTTAAGGGAAAGACAGAAACTTTAAAATAAATAAACTTGGGATTCAGAGAATATGATTGACAGATTGTTACATTATTAGGATGATATTCAACTGATAATTTTTTTAAAAAATTAGTGGTGCCTGATAGGGATGGCCACTGCTAGGGGACTGAGGCAGGGGTAGTATGGGGAAACCTTGCTGTGTGGAAGCTCTGTTCCCACTATGCTGTCTCAACAGCTGCATCAACAACAAAGGGGGAACTACGCAAGCCTCTCCCTCTGTGGAAAATGACTTTATATAGACAGTTCTTACGTATCTTACATGCAAGAAGCTACACTCATTTTGAGATTATTTTTTTTTACCTTGCCTTTCCTCTTGCAAAGAGTTCTGAATAGCATACCTGAAGCTTCCAAGTGCTCATTCTCCCATGCTAGCACTGGCATGCTACAACTTAGGAAGCACAACTATATATGATCATTCTCTGTGCTCGTCGGAGAACAACTACATAAGGTGCTGAAAATCCATGATCAGATCTCCTATTCCTTTAACCTTATTAAATAGCAGCTATGAAGGGGTGGGGGTCATTTGGATTTGGACTACAGTACTAGGAAAGAAGTGATTGCCTTGCCCCTCTGCAGTGTGTTCCTGATGGAAACAGCCCCCCCCCCCCGAGTGTTATTGCCATTACTGGGAAAACATATAGACCATAAAGCTGCCTTATACGGAATCAGAGCATTGGTCCATCCAGGCCAGTACTGTCTCCTCAGACTGGCAGCAACTCTCCAGAGTCTCAGGCTTTCACAACACCTACTACCCGATCTTTAACTGGAGATGCTGGTAATTGGACCTGGGACCTTTTGCATGCCAACTAGAGGCTCTTCCATTTAGGCTCTGCCTTGACGTCTCAAGGTCCATGCATCTTTTCAACACCAGGGGAAACAACATCTCTAGAGATGTAACATCCTGATACAAACAATCCTACCCTACTCAGCCCCGTAGCTAGGAGGTTTTCGGGGGGGGGGGGAGCAAAGACAGAGCGTGGGGAACTCAATTATATTACCAACAATTATATTAGTGACTCTCTCACACACCTCTCTTGCTCCCTCCCCCCCACCCTGCAGTTTTGGATCCCGACCTCATCCCCTCAGTAGCCGAGCAAGGCATGGTAGTGTCTGTCCAGGATGAGGAGCTGATTCCCAAGTACAGAGTCCTGCCTGTGCCACTGAGATGCTCTTGGAATTAGGCACTATCGCTTTACTCAGGAGTGAGAAGGGAGCTCCAAGGGCCAGGGCCTCCCCTCAGCATGAGGGCTGCCAGGCTGGGCCCCCACTAGATTAGTCCATGAGGGCTGCTTCCCTTTCCCTCCCTCCTTCCCATCTCCCCCATTCGGGTGACCACCTCTCTCCCTTCCCTCCTGCTCAGCCGCAGTAGCAGCTCCTTCCCCCAGCAGGCAGTCAGGTCTTTCTGCTTTCAGCTGTGGGAGGGAGATGGGCTTTGAGAAGCTGGCTGTGGAAGCAGGAAGACCCAGTGAAGCTGCATGGAGGCTGCCCCTCCGCATCCTCCCAGAGGGGGCTGAGCACATCTGGGGGGGCATGGCCCTCTTCACCCCTGGCTAGCTACGGGCCTGACCCTACTTGAGGCTGTTATTTAGAGATGTTAAAAGAGGTGAAAATTCAGTCCTGGTCCCCCAAAATATCATCTAATGAAACCCTTAAAATACAGAAATAACTGCTCTTTGAACACATCCTCAAAACGGAGCGCTCAAACTTTAAAGGTTTGATTTCGTATTTTTATAAAGAATTACTCTTAATAGACAGCAAAACCCCTATCTCTTACCAACGCCCTTGGTAAGAGGACTGTGGCAAACCCTTAACTCAAGAAGACTGGCTTCAGATTTGGTCTTTTTGCGCCTTGATTTCTAAAATGCTGAATGTTCAAATACAAACTCAAAAACTACTTCTGAGATTGTATATGACACCAAAAAGAATGTATCACATCTCTAATAGGAATTCCCCCTTTTGCTGGAGATCCTGTGGGCAGGAAGGATGCTATATCCAGTGTTGGTGGACATGTAAAATGGCAAGGGGCTTCTGGGAACTGTTTTTGACCCACATTAAAGATATTAGAAATTATGACTTACCACGTCAACCAACATTAATCCTCTTAGACCTCTGGCAAGATGCATCAATCCCCCAAATTTGTAAGGAACTGATTTCAATTTTACTAGCAGCTGCAAAAATGGTCATAGCTGCTAAACAGAAGGACCCTAGCCCACTCAGATTAAATTCATGGTATGTTAAAATCTGGGAATTATACGTGATGGACAAAATTGCAGATAGTGCGGGGTTGACTAGTAATACTGGTAATCATATTAGTATAATGCATAAGTGGCTTCCACTTTTTGGAAGCATCTTTGTCACCCAACTCAATAGCATGATCCCAAATTCCTCAAAGTTTTTATGAAATTGACAATCATTTGTAACATTTTGTATAGTTCTATATTCAACTTGGAAGACTTTATTACTACAATGTTAATCTATGATGTTGTCATTATATGTTACCTTTAGATTTTTAAATAGCTGTAACATCCCTTTTTATTATTGCCAATTATTGTTCAAGATCGATGTTGTTTTAATTGTTTGTTGTTTACTATAAGTTGTAATGGTGGTTACTATTTGAAAATTTAATAAAAATTATTTTTTAAAAAAAGAAATAACTGCTGCTGTCTCTGTGTTCTGTACCTTACAAGCTTGTGACTTTCCTTTTAATGGTAACATTAAAAATAATGGAACAAATAAGGACTGTAAGAAGACTTGGGAAGAAACAAAACCAGAAACTAATGGTGCTGCTAGCAGTGCCTTCAACACTACTTTTATGCAAACTTAATCTCTGGAACTTTAAGGATGAGCATTTTTCATCCTAACTGATGTCTTCCACAAAACAGGAGAGTTATGCAGGAATGACTATACAGCCAAGCAGTACTTAGTAGTTCCTTTTATTCTGTGGGGGGGAGCGAACTGCCTAATTGTTATTAGCAGCAGTTGTAACTACACTGGGATATGAGAAAGTGTAGCCATAATAAATGCTGTTTTCATACTGTTTATGGGGAAAGCATAGCACTATCATAGGTTGCGGTCACACGTGTAAGATAAAGTGTGGGGGGGAAGCGAGGCTATTTCCTCTGGAGGAATTTGACCCGCAGTTGTGCAATCACACAGTTCTTGGAAGCTGCGGGCACAGCCCGCCACTGCATGATCAGACGCAACCACAGGTGAGTTGGTGGGGTTTTTTTGCTGTTTGTTTCCAATGCGCTTAAACAAAGAATCAATGAATTCCACCTCCACACTGAGGGCTCTCTATGGAGTTTGTGATGATGCGCATACTGAGAAGGGGGAGGGAAACAACAGCACAGAGTTGGGATGGCCTGAGCAGACCATCCCAACACCATGAGAGCACACTGGAGCAATCAGACAGGGGAAAGTCTGTCCGTGGACCGTCGCAACCCATTTACTACCAGATTTTCCCTGGTGTCTTTTAACTCCACCTCTGCAGCAGAGCAAAACGGGTTGCCGACGGCTGTGGGGCACTTCCCAGATGTTGTTGTATGATCACGCCCTTTAAATCTGCCCAGCATTCGCGCCTATGGCAGGTCTAATTGTGCATATGATCGCAGCCGTACATAAACGTCTGTCTCCAGTACTAGACGATATCTGGTGTAACTCCTGTCAACCAGTGATAACTTTATTTAAGAGAATACACATGAGTAATGGGGGGGGGAGTTCTGTTGCTGCTTCTATTCTATTACTTTGAAACTTTCTATGCTGCCTGCACCTTGATTAACTTAGCCACAGTTCCCCCAGGGCCTATGGAATGTAGCCTTCCATGGATTCAAATTCCACTGGAGTAGTTGAGTTAGTCAAATATAGCAAAGACTGCAGAAGCATCCCATGGTACTCTAAACACTAACAACTTTATTGTTGCAAACACTTTGTTGGGTGTGAGTCCCCTTGGCCATTTGCAGTGAAGTGAATCAACAGGCAGCAGGGTTGTTGCTGCTGTTCTTTAATAGAGAGAGAACAGACAGAAAAATAACTGTGAACACTAGGTTAAAAGGCCTTGTTTATGTCACTTTTATAACAAAACCAAAAGAGCAATCTGTTGGTCTTTAAAGTGCCACAGGATTCTTCTTGTGGAAGCAGTCTATGACCTAATGTGGGGAATAGCATTTCCCCATCTCATCATTTTTCAGCTCCATGAGAAGCTGCAAAACACAAGAAAACGTGGAGAAAACAAGCCTGGCAATATGCTTAAAACATACCTCACTTGGCATTAAAAGATTGTATCCTGTTCCTTAAATTTTCTTTAAATGCATAGGAGATATGACAGGTAAACATGCTCAAAATTCACATGCAACATTTACTTGTTAAGCACAAGCTCTTTTTGTGCTGAGTTAGGAAATTTTGGAACAGTTATTATTTATTATTTATCAAACCCCCAGGGTGGTGCACATCATAATCAATGTGAACAGTTAAAAACAATGGATAAATTAATAATTGTTAAAACAAATAACAACAGACTAGAACATACAGCATACAGTCAAATCCTGCACACTGATAACACTATCTCTGCTTTTCTCTCATCGTTATAAATCCTGGGAGAAAGCATGCTGTAACATTTAAAAGACAATGTACTCTGTGAAACTTAAAGGAGATAAAATATTCTTATGCAGCATGGCTGTTGATAGTAAGACACACTTCTACTGGTACTCTCTTCCTAGTTCTCAAAACCTTCTGGGGGGGAAAGTTTTTATTCCAGAAATAGCAATTCAGCCTCACTGAAAGTTCTGGTAAGAAAAGGAATTAACTGTGTGTGTGTGTGAGTGAGTGAGAGAGTCACCTTCTTCTTGAGATACAGAACACTCATCCACCATAAAAATACAGAAAACAGAGCATCTACATTAGACCTCAGAAAGTTCCAAACCTACCTGTGAACTCTCAGCAGCAGATGCCCCCTTCATTGCATCAGATGTGGAAGCAGAAGATGCCTTCTTTCTCTCCAAGCTTCGGGTGGGGGATGGCTTGTAAGGAGATTTAAGAGGGCTAGCTGGTGCTACACGAGGACAGATATGGAATACTAAAGAGTTATAGAACAATAGCAAGAGCAATAGGGAACACAGACAAAAGAAGTGAGGAAAAAAGAGGGGGGGAAGCACATCACAGTCCATTCAAATGAATTATTGTGCCAAGTTGTCTGCATTTTCACAGTGACATATTGACCCCCAAATGCCTTTACTAAAATTACAAATATTAAATATTTGAGTTTTGAAGTGTGGGTTGTACTTCAGCAGGTTTTTTAAATGAGATCAGTCTTAATACAAATTTAAAATGGTGTTCTTTTGAGAAACATCAGTGGCTTAGATTAATTTCTCCTTACCACTTTAGATGTCTCAATTGTATTCTTTGCCCATAGCATTCAGTCCTAAAACTGGATATGTACTGATATTACCAGCTTTACAAATAACCTCAAATTAGAGCAGTTCACTGCCTATATGCACCACTTAGCTTAGCTATTCGTAACTATGTACAAATTATTACTAAAGCACTTATACAGGTAATATTCAGGGCCAAGGCTCATGAGGAGCTCTTTCTTTCTTTCTTTCTTTCTTTCTTTCTTTCTTTCTTTCTTTCTTTCTTTCTTTCTTTCTTTCTTTCTTTCTTTCTTTCTTTCTTTTTCACATATTATAAACATAAAATTAAACTCTGCCAAAAAGAAAGGCATGGTTCAGCCATAAGGGCCAACTATGGTTTGCCACAATGCAAACAAGCCTCAGGAACCCTTGGGCTCAGGGTGGTTCCGTCTGCACTCATAAACTAGCACCTAATTAGTTACTTCAGTATTTTGCAGCAAAGTGCAATTTGCCTTTATATCCACTGGCAAACTGTGTCTCTATCTTTATACTACTTTGGAATCCTGGTTTTCAGGGAAAGCCAGTTCTGGTGTCCTGGCAAACTGTGGTTGGCTACAGACTCACAGACAACTATTTAGCTGGCCACACATGAAGGGAGGAAAGAAGGCACTGGTGATAATGCAAGGTTGAAAATCCCCCAGGCTTTGCCTACCCTTATAGCTGAACCAAGTTTCTCCAACCAATTTTTGCAGTGTGTCTTACACATTCCTAAAGAGTTTAAGTTTACCTGGATCATTGTACTGCTCAAAAAGCATTAATGAACTTCTGCTTCTGGCTAAAGAAGCTCGTGTGGGAGTCAACAGTCGAGAAATTAAAAAGTTTTCCATTGGACTAAGGTGCATGCGATGAGCTGAAGGATGGAAGCAAATGGAAAACATTTAACTTAAAGTGCGGAAAAGCCGCTTCTGAAAACATGCAAGAAAATATAATGAATGACCAAACAAAATGAACAAAGGAAAACCAGAAATGTTTATAAATAGAGATCCTTCTTCCCTGAAAGAATGATTTGATTCCCCTTGTTTTAAGCTAAGCAGTCTAATTAAGAAAATGCTCTGAAGTATGAACTTTTTTTGTGATTAACCAAAAAAGGCTGAAGGTTTTCCCATGTTTACAAGTTACACTATTGGATTAACAATTCAATTTTTGCTTCATGAATTAGGCTGCTAAACACTGCGGAAAGTGCTTTTTCGATCTGATAACCTAGTGTCCACATATTTGTATATGACAACCTCCATCTCTTGTATCTAAGCCTTATATTGGTTTCTAAATAAACTGGTATATTCCTATGCTACCCCTTCAGTATTTACATTTGATAAGTCAGATAATTCTAAACATCAGTTAGGCTGGTTCATAAACTGCTTATTTAGAGGTAGCAGTCCAATCAGCAAGTATTAGAATGGGATCTCAAGCCTTTCCATCAGCAAAGGAGTAGTCGACAATACTCTTGGATTGACATCACTCCTACCCCAAGGTACAGTGCGTAAACTATCCTAATCTTTCAGCTGTGGGACACATTCCATCACCTCTGTATGCATTTCTGGGTCACAGAAACTGTGGGAGGCCTGGGCAAAGATGCACTGGCACAGTCTGCAGTGTTGGTGGTGATGATGTGCTAGCAGGCATGGTGCAACCAGCTGGCTCTGCAAAGACTGACAGGGTCAGGATAGGATTTTTACATTCTGTGGCAAAACGCCAACCCTCTTGAACATCTGTGGCCAAAAAAGTAGTCTGGGATCCAAAATGTAGCTAAATAGAAACATGTTCCACAGCAATCAGAGAAACATAAATATGTACTGAAGGAGCAGTAAAAAAAACCCATTAGCACCCTACCCTTAAAGAAAACAATTTTTCATTTTTAAGGGTTGCAACAGAAAAAAAAAGCTCTCTTATCAACAGTACTAAGAAAACAGGGAACAATTTCTTCAATAATTGTCTTCTCTTTTTTTTTGCTCTCAAGTCACAGCCAATTTATGGTGACCTCAGTGGAGTTTTCAAGGCAAGAGATGTTCAGAGGTGGCTTGCCATTGCCTGCCTCTGCATCCTGACCCTGGGCTTCGTTGGGGGTCTCCCATCCGAAGTAGTAATCAAATATTAGCATTCATTGATTTTTATGGGTTATTGCTGAAACAGAGGCCTACATGTCCTAAACAGACCTCTTAATTTAACTGACTCCAGTATAGGAGCCAACATTCCGCAAAGTCTAGAGATGGCAGAATGTCCAAATGGGAACCACCCCTAGCCGTAAGCCATCCCCTTTTTCCTGAGCTGAAACAGACCCAAGGAGTTGCTATTTACCCAATTGGGGAAACTTGTTGCCCAGCAGCTGGGGGCCATGTCAAGTTAGGAAAAGAGCATGCGGAGGAGACTTAAGCCCCCTCTCCCCACTTGCCACATTGTCAGTCTGAATCATGCTCATGTGTGCTGGCAAGTTAAATTCCAGGCATGGAACTCCATGACCACATCAGCTGGCAGGAGCCATTGCATACACGAGGTCTTTGTTTGCCCCATTAGCCCCATATTGAAGATGCAAATCTCAAGATGAAAGACAGTAGCTTGTTTACAGCCACATAGTGAGTTTCTAGCAGAGATGGCATTTGAATGAGGGAATTTCTGGGTCTCAGCTCTTAGCCACTATGCTACAGTAGCTCTGATCTGTTCATGAACTGAATGTGTTATCTTACCATTTTGCAATTCGTTCTACTACAACAAAAAATGATTTCTTGAACCGAGGGAGTGTGGTCTGGAGTCTCTTAAACTTATTCCCATGTGGCCTGGAGTTTCTGAGATATTGGAAGTAAAACCTTCCAAAGTAAACAAAGTACTCTGATGCTTTTACAAGCATGCAAAGATGTAGAGTGTAATCCTTAAAGCCTTGAAATAAATTAATTTATACTAAAATTGTGCTTTGAAGAACTTTTTTAAGCTTTCAGGTTATTCGTTATAATTATTATACTTCTACATACAGCATTCTTGTCAGAAGACAGAAAGTGGTTTAAACTAAAATAACTTTAACTGCAGTAATATTTACATTGATTTTTGCAAAACTCTACTGCCATAGAAGGATTAACAGATCAGAAAAGGGAAAGGAAATTATTGGGGAGGTGACAGAGAGAGACAGAAAATGCATTTTAAAAACAAAGGAAAGATTATTTCTGGCGTGACACAATGAGAAGCACATTCACTTGCCTCTGTCAGGGGAATAGGTTATTGTTGCTGTGGAGGAGGAGAGACGCTTATTGATAGGGGACTCCATTTGCTTTGGCAGATTCATTGTAGAAGCTGAAAGTTTGTCACATGCTGCAGAGAGATGCATTGAATACATTTTTATTCATTCCACAGGGCCTGAATGCTCCCAGAGCCAACCTTTCTCTGTGTTACTAGGGAACTTATGACTGGATCAGGACTGAGGGCTGGAGATGCCTGTCAGTCCTATAAGCTTCAGTTCAAGATAAGAGTCTTTCTGTTTGCAAATTTAACATTTCAGTTTTACAATATTATGCATATTGGCCAACTGAACAACATAGTACTAAATAAAATAATAATTGCACCATCTTGTGCAACATCAATTTTTTAGCTGTACTGTGGAGAACCAAGAGGACTTTCCAGTTTCTAACTTACAGACTATCATTTGGGGTCCACCAAAGTTCAGTGCAAAAGAAAGATCTATTCCCCTCTTTCTTCTCCTAAGTTTGGGATCAGGCTACAGCATAGCACGTAAGGAAAGGATGTAATTCCTCCTAAACTTGGAGTCCCTGAAATCACCTAGAGCTTGGGAGGCAATCTAACAGCATCTGAGCTCAGTGTGGTCAAATGCAAGATTCCATCTGTCCAGGGCAGGTTCAGTAGCAATTAAAACAGTAATCAACAACAGTGCTCTGTTTAGCTACAGTTTAAGAGAATGAGTTTTCACAATTTATGTTGGCTATTAATGATGGCATATAGTTTATTCAGGCTTCAAGTATGTTTTCTACATAATTGGTAGTTTGAACTGATATTTCTGCAATTAACATATTATAGCCTAGTCTAGTGATGCAAAACCCACAGACAACACTATCATGTAAGCAAATGTGCCGAACGTCGCAAAGTGTTTGTGTGTTGGGAGGAGCAGTCCGAAATCTTCTGAGGATACAGCGTAAAACACACAGAATCTCTATCTCTATTCTCTGTTCCGTGCCTTTCAGTTTCCTCTTATTCAATATATGCTAAGGTTTCTAGTATTCACCAGCAGGACTGATGAAATAGCGATAGATTGCTCTTCCCTAGTTGCCTGCTGAGGCTACACTGCTATTGGCTTCCTAGTATATTACATTTTCCCAAATTTTCTCTGTAACCGAACCACTAATATAAATTAGTTAGATTCAGGTGGGTAGCTGTGTTGGTCTGAAGCAGCAGAACAAGGTTTGAGTCCAGTGGCACCTATAAGACCAACAAAGTTTTATTCAAGGTATAAACTTTTGTGTGCATGCACGCTTCTTCAGATACAGTGAAAGAGAGGGTGGGTAGGTTAGTTGCCGAGGGCTAGTTAGAGTCAAGATGCATCAGTAACTGGGTTATTATAGCTGAGATCGGATTAAGGCAGTTGGTAAGATCTGTGAATAGCAGGAAATTAGCATACAAATACAAGAGTTAACAAACAGATGTGAGAACCATGTCTGAGTCCAGTGGCACCTCCAAGACCAACAAAGGTACCACTGGATTGAAACTTGGTTCTCACATCTGTTTGTTAACTCTTGTATTTGTATGCTAATTTCCTGCTATTCACAGATCTTACCAACCGCCTTAATCCAATCTCAGCTATAATCACCCAGTTACTTATGTATATATGAAAGTATGGTGGATGCAGCATTGCCTGTACTGTTGTAATCCCACATGCTGTATTGCTTGCACTATGCTGGCCTGGCCAATTTGTCACTCACATTGTCATTTAATTTTGTATTCCTAGACCCACTGCATTGGTATTGGCATTCAGTTTTGAACTCCTAATTCTAGTGCATTGTTCATTTGCATTGCTTGTTGTCGACCTTATACTGTTACGTCTACACTGTTGCTCACACTGTCATTCAGTTTTGTACTCCTAGGCCCATTGCATTGTTCATTTGATGCTCTATACTGTATGATTACTTTTTTTCTCTCTTTCTGTGCTCTGTAATATTTTCTGATTCTCAGTGAGAAAGGTGGGCTATAAATAAGGTAAATAAATAAAAATAAAGGTGGTTGGGCTACCCACTGTCAGATTCGGCCAGCAGGTTTTAAGCCCACTGCAATATTGTCCATTGGCAAAGAATTTGCTTTTTTCCTAGAATAAATGGCAATTATTAATCTGGCAGAATATGGGGCATGCACTAAGGGAGCTAAACCAGCTATTCTCGTGCTAATCCCGGTGCCTACAGAACTTCATCCCATGGAACTCAGTGACAGCTGCTGAGAAAGAAGCCAACCTTTATCCTCTACTGGGTCCCATTTCTTGGACTTGCATTAGCCTGTCACTATGGTGGGAGACTGTGTGATGGGAAATGTATATAAATGATACAATGCTTTTGTAGATGTATATAAGGGCATTTTTCAAATGAGCACTTGCAAATGTTTTGAGTGGACAATAATGGGATGACAAAACTGTCCCGAATATAAGGATAGATTTAATTTTCTTTCTTCTAGGAGCTACCAAGATTCTAATAGCAGCAAAGTGGAAAAATAAAGAGCTCCCATCTATCAGTCAATGGTATATACAAATCTGGGATTTTTTCATAAAGGAGAATCAACTACTGAGTTTAGAAAATCCATCCTGTCACTCCAGATTTTTAGAAACATGGCTCCCTTTCCTGGATTTTGTATCTGATAACAATGACTCAGATTCGGCCATCCCACCTTCATACAGCTTTACTGCACTCTTTTAGTTATTTCTTAACCTTTTAATGTAAAAGATGTATCTTAAACACAGCAGTGCTTGTCATTACTTTATGGTCTATATGATATGCCTTGCAATCCCTGTCCTATTAATTGACTCTTTAATGTTGTCCATTCATGTTACTTTTACTTGTTTCTTCTGTAATGTTGTGAAAAATTAAAATAAAAAGTTTAAAAAAATAGGTGTAAATGGATGGTGGCAAATTGAGGATAAGCAAGAGCATCCTGTGTTAGCAGATATAACCCTTGTAATTATTAAATCAATTTTGGTATCTAAATCATTTATTTATATATGTAACTTCTAAACATTAGTATGGAAACACTGAGTTTTATTGGCAAACGGGTTTTTACAATTTCTGATCCCTACTGTACTAATAAAAGGCTAGATTCCTTCAGCAGGGTAAATTGCCTCCAAGAAAAGTTTTAACTCCAATCCATAATGTTCTCACTCCAGAGCAATACTGGTAAGGGTTCTGACTCCAAAAATGAAACTTCAAAGAGTCATATATTATTAGGTGATAAGTTGATGATTCCTGAAGAAAAATAATTATTCAATAATTAATCCTAATTGCTTATATTGTATAATTTTTTCAAACCAGTTCAGGCCCACATACATTTTCACCTGCAAAAGCTACTCAAAAGGCACATGACAAAATATGACACATGTATGTGTCCCGCACTTGGACAAAAGAAGATGAACTTGAGGGCTACAGAGAGTGGGGAACACATCTGGAATATCACTATGATGTCGGAATGCCAAGCATGCATTGTTTCAGTATGGAGAAAAAGCAAGATACACAGCACAGTGACTGCATGGGCACAGTCCACCAAGCCTCCTGCTGCACCATCTCCATTCCTTTCAACAGGGTTTGGTGCACAGTTCCTAAGTGGAGGAGTGGCAGCAGAAGTAGTACTTGGAGGAAACTGTGCCATCAACTCCCAGTTACAATGTGATCAGGGGTTGAGCGGAAATAGCAGAGAACACAGTAGTCAGGGGGTGGACGAAAATCAGTGGATGTGTTAAAATGATTTGAACAGTTATAAACACGACACTACGGTACTGTGAGTCACTCAAATACCATTGGAGGGATCAGCAGCAGCAGTTGAAGCCACAGAGTCTGGAAGAAGGGTGTTGGCAGCTAAACCTAGAGGGGGTGGGCTATTTTCTGATTCACCTACACAACAGAAAAGAAATCAGAGCGAAGAGAAGTGAAAGATTACTTAGCAAGACATCCAGTGCATTAGAATCCCCCAAATACACAAGGAATTTTTAAAAATGCTTCCTGGAAGAGTTAAAAAGATTTCCTTTTCGCGATGCAAATAAATGTGCTGCATCGTTCTGAAAATCATACTACCTTAGCTTTAATAGGAATGGTTGGATGGTAAGACTTGAGACAGCTGTGTTATCAGTAGAAAAAAAGACGTTTTCTCTAAGCATGACGTATTGGGGAAAGCTGGTGAATTTAAGCAAATCTGAATGATTTCTGAAACAGAAAAACTAATATGTGGTTGGTGGTAATTTGCTTTGAAATAAACTGAAAAGAAAAAGGAGCAGCAGAAAGATCAAAAGAGAAAAGGAGAAAAACTGGCTTTCCACTGTAAACACTGCAGCATCACTGAGAAATCCCCTGTGATTTCAGGAGTGCCTGAGACAAAAATAGATTATCTTCCGCAAAGTCATACAGCGCAGATAGCCATTTGTGAGTTCAGTGCAGTGGATCATTTCAAGCTGTTATGCCTGCTATATTATCTGCGTACACAAACTTTGGCAGTGGCTTGTTTCCAAGACGATACCAGGGCATGAAATTTGCTACGCAACAACAATACCTTTACTATGCACCCCACAATAGCCTCCCTCTCACATCATAGATACTATCAAAGTGGATTTTTCTCCAGCTTCCCCCCCCCCCACAGACACACACACATATTTGCAATTTGGAATCTGCAATGCACCCAAGCTCATTCCACTCACCATCTCTTTCGGCTGAGCCTGCAGCTAGTGCTCCTCCCCACGACCATCTCTTCTGTTTCTGCTCTAGCTGCTGACTACGCTCCAGGGATCTCCGCATCATAGCCTCTAGTCGTTCCTGGGTAATTAGTATAAAAATAAAAGGTAAGCCTGGTGTTTTGAAGCCCCTGCCATATCAAATCAAATGTTTATCCTGGCTGCACGTACATACGGTGGTTAAAAGCTTCCTGTACTGACACAGCTGGGAAAAAAATAAGCAAAGAAGGCATCTCTGTACCTACTCACCTCCCAGTATCTGTATCCTTTGTCTGCAGTCCCTACTGAGGTCACTACAGAGCCTGAAGTTAGAAGCACAAGTTACATCACCTCCGAGCATCTGCTCCTACTGGCAAGACTGCTGCTGTGGCTGTGTCTGGGCTTAATTTGTTTAAGAATAATGCATGACAAGCATTAACTCTGTCATCTCAGCAGCACTCAGTTCCTCCTTCAGTGGCAGGGCTCAGCTGCTGCAGTGATTCCTCCCCGACCACACATAAATAAGGTTAAATGTGCAGGCAATAATTAAAAGATCCCCACTGCCCAGTTTAAAAAAAAATCATATAAAATAACACTATTACACGCTATTGCCATTATTCCTGCTAACAAGAAGTCAATCACGTTGGATGAGTGGGGAATGCAAAGGTCCAGCCATTTCTCCAATCCTATTCCCAACGCTTCCATCTCCATTTCCCTTCTCTGCCTTCAACACTGTCCACTCCCAAAGCTACGGCATTCTTGTCCCTTCTCTCAAGGGCTTTCATATAGCACAGACTTTTATTTCAGATTTTGTTCATCCTTTTTTTTTTAACTTAGTGGGCTGTAACCACCAGGCTCATAAGCTAGTCTAGGGACAAGTGGCAATTTCTTACAATAACATGCCCACGGGGTTGCTGTGTGAAAAAAGTAGAATAACCTCATGTTGCTTTGAGATCATTGAAGAAAGAGCTGGGTAAATAAGGGATAAAACAAATCCTCTCAACAAATATGATGTTGTGAAGAAATACATTTTGTCCTGGGAGGTTTGAAATGAGCCAAACTTCCACTTTGTATTTTAAACATTTTCCCCCCTCCGGAAAAAGGAGGAAGTCTGTTCAATTGCTTCCCAGACATAGCTCAGCTCACCTTCCTACAAATGCTAATAGATCTAGAAGGAGAGATAATGGGTGGGTCAAGCGCTTTCCATTCTCCTAGCAGGGAACAGAGATTTGGCGGAATGAAATGCTAGAGGGACTCCAGGAAGGAGATGTCCTGGAGATCTCCAGGAAAAGCCTCTTTAACCTGGCATGACCAGGTCAGGGGGTGGGGAAAAGAGAGGTGATAAAAACTCCTTGCAACAGGAAGGAGGTCTCTTTTCCTTGGGTGCTGAGGCCATGAGCACACACAGACCTCTTCACTGAGGAGGCAGCCATTGACCATGTGGTTGGCCTGGACAGCTGAAGGGAGCTTCAAGGTAATGGTTACACTGTATAGATCTGTAACTTCCTAAGCTAAGGAGCCTGTCCTATATTTTAACATATGATAGGGCATCTATAGAGAGAGGGACAGAGGAATTGTGTTTTACCTATTTCTTTTGTATCCCTTCCTCAATCTGGTGCTGTGCTAAAAGTATGCTTGTAAGCATTTTCTTTTTAATAAATACTTTCTAACTTTTGATGCTGGTAGTGGTTCTCTTCACAACATAGACCACCATCTTGGACACACTATTTTTAAAAGGAGCACTGGGGGAAGGAAGGCAGTTGACAAGTGGCTATTCCTCCAAGGGCGCATGAGGCAGTAAATTGTTCCCGTGGTGACCATATGCTGGGCAGCGGGAGACACAGATGCAAGGCCTCAGAACTTGGAAGGGAAGCTGGAAGTCTTGACCCTCCCAGCAAGCAATTCATTACAAAGGTCATTAATGAATTCCACATTTTACAGACAAAAAAATTAATAAGCAATTATTTTTATATTCAAGAAGGTACAGCCTTACAGGTTGCCCTTGAGGGACTGCCTGCTTGAAAACAACGAGACACGGGAAATGAACACATCACAGAGAAGACTTCTAGCCCAACTTTGTGTCTGATATGTTAGTTTCTGTGTGAAGAGCAATGTTAAGATGGGGTACTTTGTACAAAGGAACCTGATTTATATCCTCATCAGCCATCAATGTGGAAGAAGGAGCCACTGCATGAAATCAGTTATTAAAATACTTCTACGAATAATCTGCATTCAGTCATCACTATAAATAGGCTGTCTTTAGCTAAAGTCCTAAAAGATCATGATCAGACATAGAGAACACAGCAGACTTCATGATGTAGCCCATTTAGGACTTTATAGGTGAATTTAAACAAAACAAGTGTTTAGAAAGCTACAGATTTGCGAATAGAGGCTCATTTTGATCAGATGTCTAACATCACCTTTTGGACTGCTCAGAGAAATCCCGGCAGACCATGGAATAATAGTAAACTCTCAACATTAGTAAGAGTTTGCACTTCAAAGAGTCTGAGCCTTCTTTCTAAGAAGCTGATGAAAAATGCTCAGCTAATGTTATGGATTTGAAAACAACAAATATCAACCTGGATGGAATCAGCCCAAGACTACTAACCTTATTCTACTATCCTGGGTGTCAAAAGAAGAATGAAGACCATGAATTATAGGTATGGATACTGCCCTGAGTTATAGAATGAATACCCATCATTATACCCATCCACCCTGAGCCTGCTTCGGTAGGGAGGGCGGGGTATAAATCAAATAAACCAAATAATAAATTACCTCAAGGTTTTCCAGCCTTGCCCAAGATCATCTAGTGAGTCCACAGCAGAAGATTCAAATTGGAGATTTCTTGGTTTGTAGCTCAGTTTCTTAGTTACTATGCTACACCAGATTCAACCCCTCCCCCCCGAAGTTTCACCCATTTGGTCTATTCCTCCCTTCATTCAGCAGTTTCTTTTCATATCTGATCCTGTCCAGTAGTAACATATAAAACCTTGTCTAAGGATTTTTTAAAATCCAAATCCCTCCTTCATACATCTGTCCTTCTCTTGGAAACATTCCTCACAACATACCCTCTATTGCTCCTCCTTGGCTCACTTTTCCTTAGCTTTCCTATATCCAGGGACTATTCCATTTTCTAATTCTTGACAGCAAAGTCTTTTCTTCCTGCCAAAACCAAACCATCCTTTCTGTTTCTAAGCCCAAAGTTAACCTTAATTTCTCTTGCTTGACAATGTTCTATGACTGATACCTCTCTCCCCATTCAATGACATCATAGCAGTTCAGACAATGAAAGGCAGTAGGGCATGCAGACATATAGCAAGCTAAAAATTGGCTATTGTATATGTTTAAAATGTTAACTATATAACTCATACTACAGGGAAGGGGCAACAGCTCAATGGTAGTGCACACACATTGCAGAAAGAAGATCGTAAGTTAATCAATGGTATTTTCAGTTAAAAGGAATAGCTTTTCTGCCTGAGATTCTGGAAAACCACTGCTAATCAGAGTGAAGAATACTAGATTAGATGGACTAGTGATCTGAGGCGGTATAAAGCATTTTCATATATATACTTTTCCAAAACTGGTGCCATAACTTGTGTAAACATTAGAGTGTGTGCATATTATGTATCATCAAGTCACTTCCAACTTATGGCAAATAGGGATGTGCAACCCACACACCCCCAGTATTTTTCAGGTTTGGGTATATTGAACCCAAAAAATATTGGTATTTCCCATTATTCCTAGTGTGGTATTCAGATTCTGAAAATATTCAGGATTCCCAAGTTTTTTCGAGTCCAATGGACCCAAGGAAAAAAACACCCAAGAGGATCAGCTGGGGTGGTAGAAGCTGAGAGCTGCAAAGAGGAGCCAACCCCAGCCAAGGCAGCACAGAGCTGTCAGCTCTCGCTGCCCTGGCCGATCCTGGGCTGCAAAACGTAGCCAGCCCAGCCGAGTCCTCACCAAAGGCTCTGCTGGGTCACCCAGTTTAGACTGGACTGCCCAACAGAGCCTGCCCGGGAGCCAATGCTGCAGGGAGAGTTCCAGCAGTCAAAAAATCCTGAAAATTTTAGGGGTGGCAATTTTCGGATAGCCAAATCAGTAGGCCACTTGGTAACGGACTGAATAAATACCCGATGAATACCGGTAAGGTATTTATCGGGTATTTTTTTGGCTCAGTTTATACCGAGCACAAACCCCTAATGGCAATCCTACGAATGAAGGACCTCCAAAATGTCCTATCAGCCTTGCTCAGGTCTTGCAAACTCAAGGCTATGGCTTTCTTTATGGAATCAATCCATCTCATGATGGGTCTTCCTCTTTTCCTGCTGCCTTCTACTTTTCCTAGCAATGTCTTTTCTAATGAGTCGTCTTCTCACAACCTGACCGAAGTAAGATAGCTTCGGTTCAGTCATTTTAGCTTCTAGGGATAATTCAGGCTTGATTTGATGTAGAACTCACTTATTTGTCTTTTTGCCAATCCATGGTACCCATAAAACCCTCCTTCAGCATTAGAGTATGACTACTATTATATCGCCTACCTCCTCTTCTCTGAGCTTCTGTCTTCTCTTTTCTTCAACTGCTGCCCTCTTTTGCTCCTCCCTCTGCCTCTGCTCTTCCATCTTCCTCCATCGTTCTTCTATTTGTTTTTCATACTGAAGCTTTGCTCTCCTTTCCTTTTCTAAGATTTGTCGCTCTCTGGCAGCTTGAATAAAAAGAAGACATTCTGTTAAGTAAACTTAAAATATTTTTCTTTTACATAAGAGCAGAAAAAGAATAACACATACAAGCAGAGGTCATTTCGGGGGGGATCGCGGGGGATCGCAGTTCCCCCGGGTGAGGTACGGGGGGCGGGGCACATGACGAAGCCCCGCCCCCTGCTTCCGGCCACCCCGCTTCCGGCCCTCATTCAGCCAGGAGGAGGCCGGAGAAGAGGGAGGGTAAGTTGCTTCCTCCCTGCCTCTCCCCACCCCTGCCTGCCTGGGGCCAGGGAGGGCCTTCGCGGGGCTTCCATGCACTCCCACCGGCCTTGCAGGTCCACTGCCGGGCCCCTCATGGGGCTCGGCAATGGAGCTGTAAGGCCGGCGGCGGCCGGGACCATTGGGGGCGGGGTGTGTGGCCTTATGACACACTTCCGGTGATGTCAGGGGTGTGGCATATGCCAATGAGTTATGCTAATGAGTTCCCTAGCTCTTTTTCTACGAAACAACCCCTGCATACAAGACAAATATCTTGGTGATGGACCGCTATGCTGTTTTTGTACTCTTACAATTCTTACCTTGCTAGCCACCCTGAGTATGAGTAGAGAAGATGGGACAAAAATATTTTATATGAATAAACAGAATATCGTGATCCACACACATACAGCAGAGCAACAGAACAATGGGTCAGAAGTTCATTTTTTCTGACTTGTTAACTAGAAAATTCAATTCAAACTGTGTTTAGACTGGGAACTCTTGGCTCCACTGCTTCCAACAGGCCATTCTAGCTTTCTCAGCCAGCACTGAGGGCATAATTACATGATATGTTTAGCTTGTTTCCTCTCCATCTCTGCCCCAGGTCCTGTCAACCAGATACGTACTGGGAATTCCATGCTCAAAACTGAATTCAGGGCATGAGGGGGCTCAACTGGAATTGAACCATTGCATAAGGGGAACAGGAACTTAAGCCCTTCCCTTCATGCTGTTTTCCCAAGCTGAAACAACCCCAGGGAGAAACTTTATGCCCTACTGGAAAAACTTTAATCCAGATGAAACCCATCAGTAAGTTTTCCCAGCAAGGCAAATAGTGGCTCCTTGGCATGGTTTCAAAATGATCTTGATTGGATCCCATGCACCTAGAAATTCAGTTCAAACACAGAACTTCCAGTGAATGTCCAGTAGACAGGGCTCAGGGAAGACATGGGAGGGGCTGGAATTAGGACAAAGTACTACACAGTTAGGCCCTGCAATCTAGGTGACAAACTGAACTGCAGTAAAATTCATCTGATCCTGGATGGTAGCTGTCTGTTCCCAATACCTTGGTCCCTTGATTTTCAGAAGCTATAGTGAGTTACTTTCACGCACCTTCCAGTGGGCCAGGAAGTCAAGACACAGCTAGGCTATGGGGCAGTGATGGAAAAGTCCCTACACAGCATGCATCCCTGCCAAGAAGAGGAGATTGAGAGGAGAGTGCAGAGAAACTGGGCCGTGGTACTCTTGACAAGCACTTCCTTGTCTTTCTCCATTTTCTTTTTTCCAGAATAAAGACCTTCGACATTGAACAATGACCAAACCACATATAATGCTGGAGATCCATGTTCAGGTTCCCAGATAGTTAATTCATCTGAAAAAAGCTATACATGGACTCAGGTATGGCCAGAGCCACAATGCTAGGGAAACAAAGGTTAGCTCTTCCTCCTGTACCACTTTTCTGGTCAGAAATGCCCTCCACAGACTTCTTTAAGATACAGGAGGAAAAGAAGACAGACACTTCCAGAACATGGCCCAATCTACTGCCACTTTTGACAGCGAAGCCAGAAGAGGGCCTGTCCAGAGAAGATTGCCCTTGTTCCTCTACTGAGACTAAGTCACTTACCAAGATACTTCTCCCTTTCTTCTCTTCTTTCCCTGGCTAGTCTTTGCCTTTCATCTGTTTTCAGAAACCCATCTATAGCTGGTACCAAACAGAGAAAAAAGTCATTAGCAGCAAACCATGGCAAATAGTTAAAGGCAACTTTTCTAGTTTATTTTATAATAATTTTAGGAAAGGCTTCCAACTGTCACAGTCTTTTTGCAAGCTTCATGATGTCTTCTTAATCAGTATTTGCAAAAAACTACCCCCCAAAAAAGTCAACCAATCGGAGCCTCCCAATATTTTACCTGTATATTGATTTCACTTGTTTTCTTTAAAATTTATTCTAGGATACAATGCTCCCTCTAAGCTGTGGACTCTTGTGAGCAAAAAATCTACTTTGTGAGCTACTGGCATTAAAGTTGTGAGTGAGCAACTTGGCTTCTCCATAAATTAGTTTGCTCTGGAGCCATCCTTCCTGAATTAAGAGAAAAATGTGTGAGCCAGTGGCTAAAAAAACGTGAGCTAGCTCACACTAACTCAGCTTAGAAGGAACATTAGACCCACGTAGAGTGCATTACAATACTCCAGTCATCAGTACTCTGGATTGAATCTTATGCCTTGTTGCACTCATTCAGTCAGCATTTCTGTTTCACTTGATTTCTCGCCAATCTCTTCCAGAGGATCCATCAACAATTCTAATACACTTTTTGACTGAGAATATATGTTAAATTTGAAAACTCAACTCTGTGGTCTCACAATGAAGTACCTGCTCTTAATTGCATTTATGCAATCTGTCAAAAATTTCAGCACCATCAAAATTAAGGACTGAAACCAGATTCTAAGGAGATTCCAAAATATCAATATGGCTGCAGTATTAATACATCAACCTGTACTGATGTAATTTTATAATATGAAATGCATCCACTAGGTGAGATTAGCAAAAGTGAACACTTAATCACTGTCTTAATTAAATTTAATGATATAGATTATCTATGTATTTTTCTATAGCAAAACTGATTACAGAATAATAAGCAGTCCAACATCACCCCTATCAACACCAACTTCAAAAAAGAACATTTGTGTGTGAGAGAAACAGTGTATTATGAAGAAAATTGATATTTAACTTTATCTGTTAGTGTTTAGGGTTTAGAAGAGAAGAGATTGGATTTATACCCTGCTCTTCACTACCCAAAGGTGTCTCAGAGTGGCTTACAAACTCCTTTCCCCTCTCCTCCCCACAACAGACACCCTGTGAGGTAGGTGGGGCTGAGAAAGCTCTGACAGAAACTGCTCTTTTTCAAGAACAGTTCTGACAGAACTATGGCTTGCCCAAAGTCATCCAGCAGGTGCAAATGGAGAAGTGGGGAATCAACCCCGGTTCTCCAAGATTAGAGTCCTCGCACTTAACCAGTACACCAAACTGGCTAAATGAATTGAAGTGGTACAAAAAGATACTTAGGTCAAATATGAAGGAAAGCATTTAAAAAGAGGTGCATGCAAGTGATTTCAATGACATGTTTACTATCTTACACCATAATCAGTTAAGGGCTTCACAAATACAGGAAAATAGTTTTAACAAAGCAATGGATTTTCAGTGGCGGGAGGATCCCTCACACCCGTGAACTGACAAAATTATGGAATGACATTGTGGCTTCTAACATTAATAAATATGCCCAATTCCCTACATCCTACACACATAAAAAAGCTCCATTACAGACCAGCAGCTGCCTGAAAAGGGGACAGAACACTGCCTCTCAGTTGTCTTTTGGACTAAAATGAGCTGTTTTGATCTCCCTCCCACCCCAGTAAACCCCTCTGTTGCATCCCAACAACTTGCAATTGAAAGGCAAGGTAAAGTTTTCCTTTCTGAGCAAAAAGCTGATAGGATGGTTCTGAACCAACCCCCCACAACCTGGCCAAAGACAAAAATGTTTTCTTTTGCAAAGCAACATCAGTTTTGCCTTCTTTTCCAATTATGTCTCCCTCTTTGGGAAGACTCTTGAGAGTCCCTTGGACTGCAAGAAGATCAAATCAGTCAATCATAAAAGAAATCAACCCTGACTGTTCCCTGGAAGGCCAGATAATGAAACTGAAGCTCAAATACTTCGGCCACCAAATGAGAAGGGAGCACTCACTGGAGAAGACCCTGATGCTGGGAAAGATTGAAGGTCAAAGAAGACGGGGACGGCAAAGGATGAGATGGTTAGACAGTGTCATAGATGCAACGAACATGAAATTGAGCAAAATTCAGAGGATGGCGGAAGACAGGAAGGCCTGGCATGATCTGGTCCATGGGGTCGCGAAGAGTCGGACTCGACTGTGCGACTGAATAACAAAAACAACTTTGGGCTCTTACAGGGTTGCCAGCATTCTGGCTCCCTTTTCCTGCCACCACTCAGAGTGGCAGCAGGAGAAAAATAAAATTTAAAAATGGTCATCAGGCTGATGGCACGACATCACTTCCAGGAAAACCCTGAAGAGACATCATGCCTCTCTAGGAATCATCAGAAATGCTATGGAAAAACTGACATCGCTTCCAGAGAAAACATATTTCCCATTCTTCTTCAGCAACTCTGATTTTTTTTTTTTTGTAATTATGTTACTCAGTCTACCCTTGTAAATTCCGAGCAGTTAATTGTTGCTTTTTTAAATGTTTAGTTGTACAACACTAGGCATATGCACTAAATAAGATAACAATATTAGTGAGCTGCGATCATATTCACACTGTAAAACTGTGACTGGATCAGTTTTACTCAGTTTCATAAATATATGGTCTCATCTGAGACATTTCATGAATGGGCCCTCAGCATCAAATGCATCCATTCTCTCCTTCCTTTACACACTTCAATTCCTTGCTGTATTTCCTGGTAGTCAACAGTGCCACCTACTCCAAGGTGCAGCTAGTGACTCGCCCATGTACATATGAGAAATGAGCCTGAGCCTTGAACTTGCATGATCTCTTCCTTTCTTTCATGGCAAACCCCAGTTTATCTGAAGACTGTGGTTTGTTTTCTTACTACAAAGCAGGGTGCTTTGGAATATTGGCTTGAAAGCCAGAAAGTAAACCATAGAGTTTAATTCAGAGAAAACAATGAACTAAAGCAGGGGAGCTGAACTCATTAGTTATGAGGGCCAAATCCTATATAAGAATAACTTAGTTGGGCCATACATAGCATGAATTATCAAAATATAAAAAGCACTAAATTTATTTATACTAAGTAATTTAGAGTACAAATAAATAATAACAACTTAATTAGTTAGAAATGCCAAGGATTAAACCTTCCACATCAAGAATGTAATCTCTATGGGCTCTTCTCCATGAACTTCCAGGCAACTTTTGGAAAGTGGGATGAGAGTTGAGACGGATTTACTGTAGAGGATCAATAGTGCAGTTCTATACAGAGTTACTCCAGTTTAAGCACACTGAAGTCAACTATGCATAGGATTGTACTGTAAATACACATCTCAGTGAGAAGCTGAACAAAAGGAACACAATTAAACACCCTACAAGTTCTCTTTGGTCCTCAAGGAGGCAATAATGGCCCTTTCTGCACTAAAAGCTCATTGAGACAAACCACCAGGGGATCCAGGAAGCCACTACCAGTGTAGGGTGTATGCGTGTCATTTGCATCCTCAAACCACTCAACATTAGTAACAGACTTGCCTCTCCCCACCTACATGGTGAAGGAGAAAACAACTAGCACTTGCCTCCTACACTGCTCACCTTGTTGTTGAGAAACAGGGACAGCCAGCAAGACAAGAAGCCCAAGGGTTACTGCAGGAGACACCTGCAAAGAACCTGCCAGCCACAGTCATGTGCTTCACTCCCCCAGCAGGCATGGGGTCTGTGCTGCAACGTGACAAAGAAGCCAGTTCGGGGGAATCGCGGGGGATCGCCGTTCCCCCGGGTGAGGTGCAGGGGACGGGGCACACGACGAAGCCCCGCCCCCTGCTTCTGGCTGCCCCGCTTCCTCCCCG